TAATCGTAGATTAGGCCTTTTTCACAAACATGAAAGTCGTCTGAAATTATGTCTAGTTTTCAAAAAAATTTGAATCTCTTCAATTGGAGTTACGGTTCATAAGATATGGTCAAAATACTGATAGGGGGTCAAAGCTGTCAACAACATCCTTTAGCTTCAGATTGTAGCAATCTATCTTCGTATGATCAACTCGATTGAATGCTTCTTGACCAAAACATCTTCCGAGCACTCATCAACATACTCCTTCAGTTCCAAGTCCATTTAGGCTCCAAATATGCATCTAACTGCTCCCAAAGTACTACTTTACTCGAACTATCTGAAATTAACACAAAAATGCTAGCAATACGGGAATTCTAATAAAAGACATGACCTATAAATTATTTAGACAAATGGCATGCAAATGTACAAAATATGATGTTGAATGATAATAAAAACTACCCTAAAAGATGCATAAAATGGCATCTATCGGATAAATGGAAACAAAAATTAAAAACTAAATCTTAAATTAATCATATAAAAAGTCGAAGTCTTTTTCACATCTAAAAACTATGGTTTTTAGCCAGATGTCACACCCCCAAACCGAATTGGTGGAAACATTCGAGGGCAGAGGACGTTATGTATAGTATCACAACAATACATAATAGTAAACAAGCAACAACATCATCCATTGCATTAATAATATAATTTAATACAAGTGTGTTTTGTATAAAAGTAAGACACCAAAAATGAATGATCAAAATAAAGACGAGTCTTGAAAGCTCTATCTTCTCAAAACCTGGCATTGGTACATGTCTACTGATGACCTGAGAATACAAGTTATAATGAAAGAGAGGATCAACATTTAAGCTGGTAAGTTCATAATATTTTAGTATCAATGTTGTAAGTTTGAAGAAAATGTTTGTATATGTTGGTATATGTGTTGTATATGTAGTAAATGTTTGTTACACCTAGAAAATCCAATATTTTCTACTAAAAAGTAGCCTTCTACCAAGTTCCAAATGTTCTATGTGTTGTTTGTTTGTATAAGTGTGTATATTCCCAAATGTGACTATCATTACCAAAAATATAGTTTTACATTACCGTTTATGTGAGAAGATCACAATGTGAATGCAATGGGAAATTTATAAAATACTATAGTATTGTATATAATAACTACTGCTATACTAACTACCTTAGACCAATTATTAATTAAGGTAAAATGTGATATTATGTTAACCATACTTGATCGACTAGTAAGACACGACACTCGATGACGTCGAAATGGTATGACATCTGTCACCGTAGACCTGCAGGTCCCACTGTAGCTAGCAGCAAGGTGTAGGACGACCAGTCCTGTATAGATCTATACACAAATTCACGCTCTTACTCGAGGAGACTCTGGTTAAAAAACGTGACACGGCAGAAGATTACCATGCCATGAAGTAGTGGCTCACATTAATGTTATAGTATTCTAGTGTTTGTATAGTATGTTCTAGTGTATTGTATGTTCTAGTGTATAGTATGTTCTCTCTGTAATAGTGTATAGTATGTACTCTTGTATAGTATAATGTATGTTCTCTTAGTTTCTCATCATAATATATTCTTTATGTTTCTCGTAATAGTAAGTTTGTATTGAATCATGAATGAACTGACTCTTGTATGTTTCATTGTACTAAGAATAGTGAGTAGTAATATCCTAAACTATACCTATTATAGTTTGCTAGTAATGTTGTTTGAATGATTGGGTGTGTTGAACTAAGATAAAATCTGTTATATCTATATACATATACATAATATATAACCAAGGTTCAAACGACACTAGGACAAACAACCGAACACTCTTAGTTTCTCATCATAATATATTCTTTCTGTTTCTCATAATAGTAAGTTTGTATTGACTCATGAATGAACTGACTCTTGTATGTTTCATTGTACTAGAAATAGTGAGTAGTAATATCCTAAACTATACCTATTATAGTTTACTAGTAATGTTGTTTGAACGACTAAGTGTGTTGAACTAAGATAAAAGTTGTTATATCTATATACATATACATAATATATAACTAAGGTTCAAACGACACTTGGACAAACAACTGGATACTCTAAGTCCACAACCAAACAAGGAACATGAATTAAAACGAGTTATCAGTCTTGAGTCCTTTCAACCCTACTTATATAACTATATCTTTATAGACATGATTTTGACAATATATAAGTTTGAAAGAGTTTAATAAAAGAGTTAACATAAAAGGAGTTTTAATTATTTAAAATAATAGATGACTTGATGTCATTTTATGAAATGTTTTAAAGAGTTTGTTTGGTAAACAGTTTTGAAGTATTTGAAACCCATTTGTTTGTTAGTTATTAATCGCATGTGATTGATATAATAACTATAATGATTTCAACTTGTATCCCCTCCCCCCTAAAAAACATTTAAAATCATTTGAAAGGTAGATTAAGGGGTATGAACTCACCTGCAGTGAGTGATACGAAATGAAAGATCGGTTTGTAGGATGCTAAGTGTCAAGTGAAGACTTGAGCACAATAGATCCTAATAAGCATATAATGACACATATATGTATATAATTAGTGTTTAAACAACTAAACATGCGAGGAAAAACAACCTAGGACATAGGAAACACTTAGATTGAAGTGCTAGAAGTACCAAGGGTTGCATATAATGGGTGTATGGCCATACATTGGCATGTACGACCAAAATAGTGTGTTTCATGTGTGTGTATGACCAGAGTGTACGGCCTAAATGGGTGTGCGGCCGCACACTCATGGTGAATCATGCCAATGAGTGATTTAAAGTCTTATTAAGCATCTAGGAAGTGTGTTTTGACCAAAACTTAGCCTTAGTGGAAGTTTATTACCATTGTGGACCTCACAAAGGGTATGTACGGCCACACAAAGAGTGTACAACCGTACACCCTTGATGATCATGTAAAAAGGGTCAAAAGTATATCCTAAGTCTCTAACTTGCATCCCCTAAGTGTTCTTGATCATGTGCTTAGCATAGAACATGAGTTTGAAGCCAAATAACACTAAACATAGGGGTGTACGGCCACATGGGGTGTATACGGCCGTATACTCCTTGATGATCATGGTTTGGATGATTTCTAATGGTCTTAACTAGTAAGTAACAAGCATGAGGAGTGGTACTTACGATATAGAAGCCTTTAGGGGTGTTTGAGGTCCAAAACCTTAGTAGGTGTTCTTGGTGTTCTTGGAGAACACTTGAAGATCTAAACAAAAGGTGTAATTTCATGGATGAAGTCATGAATCCTTACTAGATGATGTAATGAATCAACAAAACAAAAGAAGTAACATTTACAACTTGAAGATCTAGATGAAAATCGGAATGATACTTGAGAGAAAAGTTGATTTCTTGGCTTAGAAGTGTGAAAGGAGGTAAATGAAGGCTAACACTCTCATTTATACATGAGAATGTACAGTTGGGATGGGTGTACGGCCGCACACACCTCATGAAGGGGTGTTTGGCTCATTTGAAAGGTGTTGAACTCAAATACACTCATCCCTAGCCCCATACCGTTGATTATACTAGGCTTGGAACACTCAAATTGACTCTAAACAATGCTATAAGACAGCAAAAAAACGAGCCTGACCTTGATTGATTTGAATAACTGAATAAGGTAGAAATTTCGGATTGTCAGACCAGACATGGCAAAAAACATATTTAAACAATAAAAATATTATTGTAACATAACAACGATAAAAACTAAACCTACTGTTCAAGTCACATTCTTCAGATCTTCATAGCTCGTCGAAAATTGCCAAAAATTTGTCTAAAATGGTCGCGCAACAATTTTACTTGATAGGAAGTCAGGAAAGGAATTTATAGGCAACAAGTATTGTCAGATCTTCATACGAAGCCAGGAAGGGTATTCATAGGGTCAAATTTTTGGAAATGCAAAAAGTACGAAAAATATGAAAAATTCGGAAAAATGTTCGAAACTGACTTTTAATGAAGTACAATGTCATTTCAGGACTTCAAGACCAAAACGCGATTGTATAATGGGAAAATATGGTAGCGTAATGCTTTCGAAGGGATAAAAGTTTATTTTTCGGCATTTTGTATTTTTAAGTTGTCCAAAAATGTTGTGAAGTGAAAATATGATTGTGTAATGAGTAGTGTAAATTCGTAAATGTGAAATCCGGACACAAAATTCTTCAGTTTTAGCAAAATTAATCCAACTTCCTAAAAACGATATGAAAGTATGAGTAGTATATAAATTCAATGTTTATGCCGCTTTTTCCTCATGATTATGCATGCACTCACACACATTAAAGGAAATTGGTCGAAACAGCACTGGCCTCTTCATGGGGAAGTCAGGGTTAAAATGGTCAAGACGCCCTTCAAGGGAGAATTAGTTACTGTTAAAATGGTGCTACGAGTACTTGCATGTTTTTATTTTTATTTCATTATCTTCTAACATTCTTTACGCGAACTGCTACAGTGCATGTTCAACCATGACACAGCTGAACTATGTTATTTTATTTTTAGTTCATTATCTTCTACCATTAAGAAGAACCAAAGAATAATTTAAGTCTGTTACGGATTCCACTAGCATCCGACTTTTGTGCACCACATAAAAAAACATTATTTTTATGAAAAGGTCATCTCAGAGAAATAAAATCATGTCACATACTAGAAAGTCATTTCACAGGTTACAAAAATTCACATACAAAAAGTCATTTCAAAATTTATATGTCATTTCACACCTTTTTTTCATATAAAAAACATTTTTTGTATGACAGTCATAAAATCATTTCACTAAACAAGTCTCTAAATTTATATGTCATTTCATAAAAATAAGAAACACATCAATCATATTAACAATCATAAAAATTAAGCACACTTTACCTAAACAGTTAGTAATTCAATCAGTAAGCATAACCAACATCCTAAACAAGACCAACATAATCTTCACCAAAAACCAAGAAGATCATACAAGTAAAATGATCTCAAAATCAAAATAACCACCACAACATCGTTTTTATGAAGATTCTCCACCACCCGACTCCACCATAAGACTTCTCGCTGGAGGAAAAAGAGCCACCGCACCTTTTTCTGGATTCACATACTTTCTGTACACCGCCTTCAGCTTTGTCTCACTAGCACACGCATGGAAATTCACCAAACTCTTTGCACAATCCCTATTTTTAACACAAATACAGTTCATCTTGTGAGATTTAAGATCATTCTTGAATTTAAGTTGATTTCTGGAAGAAAAAAAAAATTTGTATAACCATTTTCAGAGTAAAAGATCAAATTTCTTGAATTTAAATTCTACCCATGTGCAAAACACAATTTCTCAAACAAAAAACCAACTTTTTCTAAAAAAATTAAAACCCATGTCAAAACACACACCCTTATTTCCAGTAAGAACAGTTTTCTTGAAATAACGATAAAACTGATGAAAGATAAAAAAAAACACTATTTTTGTAATAAAAACACCCCCCAATAGCTCTCTAATTCAATACCCATGTCAAAAAAACACTATTTTTGTAATAAAGATCAAAACTTTCTAAAGAAATTCAATACCCAAGTAAAAAAAACCTCCCTTTAGTAAATCTTGAAAACAAAGATTAATTTTTTAAAAACATTTTCATATCAACATGACAAAAAACACTCACCTTAGTTCATCTTCAGAGTACCCAGTATGATACTTGAGTGTCCCAGTCCACGCAGGAGTCTTATTCAGTGTACACCTGGCAGCATAAACAGCTGAAGCAGCAAGCTTCGAATGACTATTCCCCATAACAATCGAGTAATGAACCAAACCCAACTCAGTCAAGAAAAACACCATATTCTCCATCTAAAATCCAACAAAAACACAAATAAATATCAACATTTCACAATTCATATGAAAAAAGGTTAATTAATTCTTTTCAAATATACATACCTCGACATCACTAGGAACAGAAGCTTTTGTATACCTAACAAGAAACACATACGGAGTAGGAACAGTCAAATACCACCCCAAAACACCAAGAACAGCTTTCTCCATTCCCAAAATCTGCTCCCTTGTATACGCATTATCCGATATTGCAATCAAATCATTCACTTCAGGAGGCCAAATCTCTTCATACTTACAAGCAATTAACATTGCACTGATTCCAACCAACTGAAGTTCTTTTCTGGGAACTGTCCTCATTGAGAGGTATCGGTCAACGATGTTGACTGTGAGGTAAAGACTTTCTGGCATGAGTTCGAATTTCCTGTGAACTTCAATTAACCAGTCGACTAAAATAGCCCTCATTTTGGCGTTGAGATCGGGTTGTGAGTTCATGTAGTCTCGTAATCCACCTTCTGTTTCTGTGAGTTTGTAGAATTTGTAGATGTCTTCTACGTATTCTACTTCTGCTAGTTCATTGTTGATGTCGGATTGGTCGATGTTGATGATTGGATCTTTTGGTCTTGTTGTGATCCCACATGCAACCTGAACAAAATAGGCAAAAAAAGATTTGAATTTAGATAAAGTCAAATAATGTGTATGTACTTTATATGTTTTAAGCGGTATCTGAAAGAAACAGTTTCAAAGTTATAAATAAAAGCATGTACTTTATTTACCCATAAGTGAGAAGCAATTTGAAAGTTATAAACAAGAGAAATTAAGGTTTCAAAAGAACAAACCTTGCTACGAGCAGTGAGGACAGAGGTGAGTGACTTGGTGGGCTTTTTGAGTTTTCTTCTTGGAGTTTCTTCATGTTTTTTCTGGGCCACATCAGCATTGCTGGCTTCTTCTTGTGGTTTCTGCATTTAGGTTGAAAGAAAACCAAAAGAAGAATGTTTTAGACACATAGAAATTTTATTTGCTGGTTTGATTTATCTTAAACTAGAAAACTTGAAATGGGTGGTACCTTGGAATTCTTATCTACAGCTTGAGCATTTGCAACCAATTGGGCTCTAAAAGTTCTGATAAGAATCATCAAAATGTCATGAAAACCAAATCAAGAATTAAGAAATGTAGGATCAAATTAGGGGAGGGGAGGGGGACAAACCGTGTAATGGGACGAGTGATCTGAAGTTGGGGCTTTCCTATTTCATTAAGGGTTGAAGCAGGCACAAGATTTCCAATGTCACCAAGGGCTCTCCTGTTTCTTCTTTCTCCTTGCACTGGGTTCTTCTGGTTAACATCTGCTACATAAAGAATCATAGTCAATCAAGATGTAATGGGAAGTCACAGAATTCGACTCAAACATGAAACGAAGACCCAAAAAAACTTGAACAATCTTGATGAACATATTCACTAAAAGCCAGTTTTTTCTGATGAAACAAGCTCAAATTTTGAAATGATTCATGATTTATCAAAATGTAGATCTCAAACTTTGGACATGAATCCCTTTTATAAAACGATAAAGAACAAGGAACTATATGATAGCATAACTCAAACCACTTCTGTTAATTAGAACAACAGAATCACTTAAATTCACAGTTCACATTCAATACAACAAAATAGAGCAGTGAGATAAAGTATATTAATGAGTTACAGAACCCTAGATCTCAAAATTAGAGAGAAGTTTTCCTAAAACAACATAAGAACGACCATATTTCGAAACATATTCATCAGATGTCTCATGAAAAAAACAATCGTATCTCATATACTAGAAAGTAGTTGTTACTTTTAAGCATAAATTCGCTAAAACCCACATTCGATAGTCAAAATTACAAAATCAAACCTCTATTTGCCTGTTGAATCGGAAGAACAGTTTCATTGGACGCCATTTCTTCGTCTTGTTCTTGATTATGACCAAAAACTCCTCCAATACTCGTCAAGATCGACGATAAAAACGTCTGGAGACGGCTATTGTTTGCCTCCCCTTCTTCTGAGTTTTTGGTAGCCACGGTATGATCGAATATGACACTTCTTCAAGTTCTTTCTCTCTTGTAACAATTGCAATTTCTACCAGTTTCGTATTTTAGGGTTTGATGAAGTAGATGAATGTTTGTGAGGGTTTTAATCGGCGTTGAATTGAAGACAACGCGCCCTTCCTTTTATAAACGGTCGTATATTTCAATTTTGAAATCTGTCCGTTGGTGTATTAGTAATGCATTTTTGTGAGTTTAACGGTAATATTCTTATTTCTTGCTTTATACACTTCCTCTTTTACCCTCTCATGAGTAACACACGTGACCGTTGGTGTAAAAGAAATTCCTTTCCCTTTCTTTAAATAAATTGAATCATCAATTATAGATATTTTTATATCGTTAGATTAAGTATATATATTGGTTCTGATGTTAATACTTAATAGCAGAAATAATCAAGTTAATATTAGGATAAGTACATGGTACAATGAATCTCAAGTTATTAATATTTAAAGGCTAAAGTCTAAAATGTCACTCTTCATTTAATTTGTTTTTTTTTAAGTCAATTAATAGACCACAATATTTTTTGTTTCTTTTTTCACTAAGGTTATTAATTGTTTTTTTTTTTTACGATCTAACTTTTTGAGTATCTAAAGTTACTTATATTTTTTCACAATTTATTTTTATTATTTTTGGAAGAATTTCATATATGTACTTCCTAAATCTCAAAATATCATATTTGATCAGTTTAATTTTTCAATATCATAGTTACTATTTATCAACCTTTAAAATATCATATTTATCAAAATCTTTTTTATAATATTTTTAATATTTTATAATCATTTTTATACCTTAGACGTATTATAATAATTAAAAGAGTTAACTATATTATCCTTACTTTTATGATAATGGAATGTGAACTTCTAAATTGTTGGAATGTCGCACTCTTGACAAACAAAAAGATTCATCTTCAATCCTCTCTATGGAATATCATATTTTGATGTTTAAAATATGCATATACGATATTTTGATATTTAAGAAGGGTATATATTATATTTTGATGTTTAAAAATGACATATATGATATTTTGAAATTTTATGAGTGGTAAATATGATATTTAGAAATTTTATGAAGGGTAAATATGATATGGTTAATGTTACTGTAACCCAACCAATTATTCGATTTTGGTTTAAAAGGTCCCTAATGTATTTTTTTTTGTGGTCTAGGTCATTAAACTTATATGTGACCTGTTAATTATACCAACAATCTATTTTTTATCAGGTTTTACCAATTACACCCACAAATTGAAGCACATTTTCCTTGTAAATCTCTAATATGAAATCCTTAAGTATCTGGGCTTTTGTTATCGTCGGTGACATGGTTGCTGAAACTTTCCATGTTTTATTCTAAATTTTGATGTTGTATGATGCTACATGCTATCTACCTTCAACCATCGTCTTCACCATCCATTGTTATACACCATCACCACCTGTCGAAAATTCATCACTGGAAATACCATCCAACCACATACACCACCATTCAAGCTTTCTTCGACAACCACCTGCTCCAGTCGAATCTCCACAGTGAAACACAGCCTACCGAACACTATCTCCCGGCACACCTGCAAACTCAGCCATCTTAATATCACAAACTTTACCATTTTAACCATTAGCTACATTTCCTCCTTACACCATCGAGCTTTATACCACCGGGGAAATACCGAGAACAGCTCGAGAGCTACCGAAGAGGAGACGAGAGCTATTTGCACTTTTTATCCTCCACATAATCCCTACAATTGAATGCTTCTCAAGTTGTTACTGTTGCAACCTTCTCCTCTAATTTCACCGATACAATCCAATTCAATGTTGAATAATACTTTAATGGAGCCACGTCCACTCACATGAATATCTTAAAGATGATCCAAACAAACAACTTTTTATAACTTTTAATTGAAAATATTATTTGAACTGTAGCATCAAAAACCATATTTACATGTTCCTTCAAAAAAAAAATGCTTCCAGATTATTCCTAGGATAAATGCTTGTGATATTTGGAATTATTTCAAGTTCCGACTCCACGAGTTGTAATAGCTCCATTTTGTTGGCATTTTGGCACAAACCCGATAGCTTTGGTAGCCCACACAAAGATAAAAACTTCGTATATATATATATATATATATATATATATATATATATATATATATATATATATATATATATATATATATATATATATATATATATATATATGAACGTTATTGTCTCTTTTCCAGCATTTTCAGTAAAGATGATGAGTTCTGCTACTTCTCGCAGTTATTATTTGTCATGATAATAGATCGTTTTATGTATATTCCTATGACTAAGTCGAGTTCCATCAGAAAATCACATATACAACTCTTCAAGATTGGCCAAATTTTTCTCTGACACCTTGTGATGGTAAGGGGGCTGAGGAAAACATGTTCATGACTGGGGATGTTGACGGTGGGTTGCAGGTGCTTAAAAAGGTGGCTAATATGATATAAGGGTGGCGGTTCTCGGTAGCTACAGTGAATCCGATGGTGAGGGATGTTTTTGGTAGAGGTTGTAGTTGCTAGACTTTGCACGAAGATAATAGTGTTCGGCATGTTGTGTTTCATTGTGCAGATTCGGATGGATCATGTGTTTATCGAAGGAAGCTTGAATGGTGGTGTAAGGTGGTTGGATGGTATTTCCAGTGATATTTACAAGGAAAAGGGGCTTCAATTCGTGGGTGTAACCGGTAAAACCGGGTAAAAAATAGATTGTTGGTATAATTAACAGGTCACATATAAGTTTAATGATCTAGACCACCAAAAAAATACATTAGGGACCTTTTAAACCAAAATCGAATAATTGGTTGGGTTACAGTGACATTAACCCGAATATGATATATAGAAATTAAGTTGGGTAAATAATATATTTTGATGTTTAAGAAGGGCATATATGAAATTCTCCCATTATTTTTTATAATTAATTTTTATTTTGTTTTTACATGTTTTTTCATAAATTACCTTTTACAAACACATTGTAAAAAGACATATAAACATGAAGTTATAAAAATGGATTATAAAAATACATTGCAAAAATAAAATAAAAATATCATTATAAAAATATAAAAACCAAGTAAAAAGATGGTGGTACTTGAATTAAAAAACAAACTGTGAAAAAACATTTATGTGGCTTTAGATAGGAAAAAAAGTCTAAAAACGTCACTAACATGGTTGTACTTGAATTCATTTAGTCATAACATATTGTTTAAAATTTAGACCACTTAGCTTGTTTTTTTAGTCAATTGAGAGGTTGTTTGATAGTTGTTGATTAAGTTAGATCTAGTCCAATCAGAACCTGACTGGGTCTGAAGCTCTAACTGCATCTACTTCTGACTGAAACTATATTGTTTGATTATCCATCTGACTGAATATGCTGACTGTTGAAAATAACCATTTTACCATTTTATTTAGTTAATGATTAATTAAATGTATATGTTTCATACAATGTTAGTAAAATTGATTAATAGTTATACAAAATGTCATACAAAATTCAAATTAAACGTAAATAATTTCAAAATTTATAAAGCTCCAATAGAAAACAGTGAAATAGGAGGAACATTAGCACGTATGTGACCCCTTAAAGAGAGGCAGCGCTGTGATGTAGCAGAAAAAGGCATTGTACTTTAGGAGGCAAACAGCCAAGGGCAAGGTACTATGTAACAAAATTCCAGCAAACAATCTTTAAACACTTGGATGATCTCAAACAACTTAGCAAAAATTAATAATTTAGCAACAATTAATATTTAAAAGTATGTAACATCAACTTCAGGGGCATTTTAGTCCAAACTCACACAATTTTAGCAGCCGCCAAGAAGAAGTGAGGAGCAACTCCGATCATGTAAGATGCAAAAAGATGAGGTATATTTGGAATATAATAGCCTCATAAGTAGCACCAATAACAACACCTATAAAATTAGGAACACCAAATAAACTCATCTCCTAAATATACATCGTAGGACATGAAAGGAAGCACAATGAACACCCCATGAAAGAGTATGCATATCATTACAATTGTAATTGATAGACCAGTGGTGAAATCAGCAACGATTTTAGATAGGAAGGTTGGATTTCAAGCCTATTAAATTTCACGATGATGGAGTATTCTCTTTTGGTGAAAAAACATCAATTTCAGATGAGGAAGACAGGCACAACAGAGGTAAGCGGTTATTTCAAAAAAAAAGATGAGAATAAAATACCTGATTGGCGGAGGCTAGTGGACGTTGGTGTTTGCAGATAGGTGAAGGTCGGTGCTAAGATAGGTGGAGGTCAGGGTTCTTCTTCAGGTGACGTTGTCATGGCAGGAGGGAGGAGCTAGAATTAAAGTCCATGTGGTGGAAGAAGGAAATGAGGAACATAGCTAAACGATGAGGCATTCATTTCAGGGCATAAAAGTCTTTTTTGGGTCAGCCATATTTTAAGCACGGACCGAGTCATGAGATGGGTCAGTGATTGCTAACCGAGTCAACTTAAATTAGCCCTTATTAAACAAGCTGATGGGACCGAGTCAGCGAAAAAATACTGACCAGACCCAGTCAGCTATATATGAAACAGTCCCTGAGTCTTACGACCGATGACAACATATTTTCATATTGTATCTAAGATCATTTTTTTTTTTTTACAGTCTAAGGTTTCTTATATATTTTTTTTATGATCTATGATCTATTTTTATAATTTTATTTTTTTAAAATTTTTTATAATCAATTTTTACTATGTTTTTACATGCTTTTTGAGAAATTATTTTTTACAAACAAATTGTGAAAAAAAACATGTAACATCATGTTTTTGTGGTTAGAAGTTTTAGGATTTTGGTAAAAATAAAAAGTTCTTTATTTTAAAATAAGATAAACCCAAATGAACTAAATAAATAAATAAAGGAAAGAAAATTGATTTGATTAATAACCAAGATAAACATACTTGCTAAATCATAAATAGATTATGATAGAGTTTGCATGTCAAAAGAACACTTTTAAGGTTTAGGGACTAAAAGTGACAAGTTGCAGAAACTTGTGTTTGACCCAAGAATTTGACCATATAAGCATCTTGGACTAGATTTGCATGAGTTATGTTGGAGTAGGACCAATTGTACATAAAAAAAAGTTATTAAGTTTTTAGCATGTTAGCTACAAAGCATGGATGGGAATTCAATTGAGGGACCAAAAATATCTACTTTCTTCCCACTCTTCACCCTTTTTTCTTCGGCTCGTGACTTTTGCTCCATTTACCTCTATAACTGAAATTTCTTCACGAGTCACATGAAGTTTTGAAGCTTGCTAGATTAATCCTTGCTGAAATCCTTATTCTCCTTGCTTGGAAGATAGTTCATTTCCCCCTTTTTTTTCCCAAACTCAAATTAGGATTTTGAGGGCAATCATAATTTCTTGCTTTAATCGGGTTGTTATTGTGAAATAATTGATGTGATTCT